AGTTTGTAATCTCATTGTCGACTCTAAACTATCACAGATAGTTTGTTAGTAAACAAGTTATAAATATGTTGCCATTATCTCTAATTTCTAATTTGAGAATTTCTTTTTTTTTTGTCCTCTTTTCTTTATTCATTTTAGAGTAGTCAAGATTCGAATCTAAATTTCATTAAACAAAGATTTATACACAGGTCAAGTGCAGTCGATCAATGAATAATCTGATATTAAATATTTGCACTACATTGGTATGAAAACCGCGAGTGAAGACGGACCCCAGTGCTGGTTCAACAGAAATTTGTAAAATATATATTCAATTCTGTTCAATGTTTTAAAGGATTTTTTTACACTGAAAACGATGGTGCATCAGATTTTATATCGGTAAAAAAATAAATTTATGGCATAGAATGTGTGTTTCATTTGATATTTTGGTGCTAGTCGGTTTATAAATTTCATACTTGATGTTGATGACTCTGCTAGAAGAGGGTGCGCACGTTTTTAGATGTACGGTTGTAATTTAAAAAAAGGCACTATACATGTTTCGAACTTATTTTTGTTTCTTTTTGTTAAAAGTATTCTGATAAGATTAAGATAAAAGCTTTATTCTAAGAGTAAATGGTGGGGCGACGGTGGCCGCAACGGTTTAGGTGTTGACACGGCGCTCATCACTGTAAGGTAAAGGTCTCGGGTTCGAATCCAGCGGCCCTGCATTCAGAGTGTTTATAAAATCGCGAAATATTCCTTCAAGCCGATAATTTTGTCAGTAATGACCAAAAATATCTTAAATGTAATAGGGTTTGTTGTCTAGTTTTTCCTAAAACCTAAAATAGTTTCGCATGATTCAATGCTTTTATTCTAAAAAAGAAACTAAACAGCAATTGTATGTTTGTTGCATGATGAAGCAACTTTCCGGTCGTTGCCATTTTTAAGAATGACAGAGCAAAATAGTGACCCGTTGGGTTAGTAGCTCCAGCCGGAGTACTTATTAATTTAAACGGGCCGTTTATAATTGGGGAAGTCCGCTGCCGGGGAAAATTGAAGATGATTTAAGAGAAAATTGACGAACGCATTTTTTTATTTTTTGATAAATTAGTCAATATGACTGATAACAAGTCAACGAAGATATTATCCCACTTGAAACCGATAAAATCATGGAATGAAAAAAAGATTATCCAGTAAAATAATAATTATTGAAATAAATCTTTTTTTAAGGAAGGAAAAAAGAACTATTTGACTACATTCCATGTCAAATTTTTCAAAAAAGAATAGTTGAATGCCCGATAGAAAAATAAAGGCAGAGATGAAAAGAGTATTGGAAAAACAGATGATGTTTGTATTTCTATGAACTTAAAAACCAAAAAGGAAAACGCACGAAAAGAAATTAACAAATTATTCTATCTGCCAAGGATTGAAGAAAAAAAAATTTGAAAGGAAAATTGAATCAAAAAGTATAGCCATCCAAAAAGAAAAACAAATGTAAAAATGATCAACTGACTCCATAATCACAACATTATAAAACAGACGTAAAAAGTATAAGTAAGGTATAAAATATCAGACATCAGAAACAGAAAATAAAGTAAAAAGGATTAGTGTAAATAAAGGTTTTTATATATGTCATTTATGTTTTAGTGGTCATTTGGCCTAGTAACTTCTTTCAATTAATTATTCTTTTTATGTACGGTCTTGGTTGAGATAAATATGTCAGTGTCACGAGCGGGATTCGAACCCACGACCTTTGGCTAAATACGCCGCTGCTCTAACCACTTGAGCTATTTTGACTTCGATCTACTCGGACACTAACTTCCCATCTCATAGATAGCTAGATAGCTCATAGATAGATAACTCAGGTTGTTAGAGTAGCGGCGTATCTAGCCGAAGGTCGTGACTTTGATCTCCTCGGACACCAACTCTCCATCTCAACCTACAACCGTTCGAATTTTCCCTCCTTTTTGCCATTTCGAACGGCTGTAGGTTGAGATGGAGAATTGGTGTCCGAGAGGATCGAAGTCGAAAGCTCAAGTGGTAGAGCAGCGGCGTATTTAGCCGAAGGTCTTGGGTTCGAATCCCGCTCGTGACGCTGACTTTTTTCTCTCAACCAAGACCTTACATAAAAAGAATAGTTATATCTAAGGCTTTATGTTGTATAAGACAACATCAAATATCAGATGTAAAAATCGTAATTGTACAAAAAACGGTATGCAAAAGACAACACAAGACTTCAAAAGCATAAAAAAGGTAAAAAACAACGATTGAAACAAAAAGTTATGCTATAACAAAGTATTTAAAAAAAAATGAACATTTATTTTAAACAACATTTTTAAAGGTTTAAAGGTAACATTTTAAAGGTTGATCAGATACCTAAACAAAAAATAAAGTAAAAGTCACGGGAATAAACAAAAAGTAAGTTATATATAATTATTTGGAGATCGTGAGGTGTGGTCTGGTGTGACGCACGTTTTAGAAAAACATTTTCTTTATCGTGCTGACGTTTCGATCTTTATTGAGATCATCTTCAGGGCTCAAAGTGTTTGTTTTCCGTGTAGATGTGTCATTCTTGTTTGTCGTGTTGAGAGCGCGGCACAAGAATGACACTTCTACACGGAAAACAGACACTTTGAGCCCTGAAGATGATCTCAATAAAGATCGAAACGTTGGCACGATAAAGAAAATGTTTTTCTGAAACCTACGTCATACCAGACCGCATCTCACTACCTAATACACATCAAGTAACGGTCACTAATCACCACACGGTTCTATATATCTGTTATATAATAATAGAATAATAGAAGATAGATAATAGAAAAAATAAAGTAAAGACCAGAGAGTTACATTACAAAAAATGACATTACAACAAAAATACATCTGGATATAAATAAATATTCTTATTTCAAAAAAATATATAACCAGGAAGTCAGTAGAAATTGACTAAACATGAAAGAACTGACCTCACAAAACTGAAAATGTAGTAAAAATCGGGGCAGGATAAAATGTCAGATATATATTTAAAAAAAAAACAACGTAATGACAGAAGATGCTATAAAAAATGCAACATAAATTGGTAAAAATAGCAAGCGTACAGAGAAAACATCACATTTAAAAGACAATAACTACATAATATGTCCATTAGGCAATTGAACAAATCGTCCTGTATAACGTCAAAGGTAGAAGGAAATTCAAAAATCCAATACTAGTTAAAATTAGGCTGCAATTTAGTCCATTACAACCGTCATTATAAACCAAAGAAACTGGTTTGTGGCTCTTATCAACAAGGCCAAAAGAGAACAATGAAATGAGAAAATTACACCCAGAATTTGAGAAAACTACAAAACTTTAAAAAATCGAGAATCACATTCAATCAAAATGAGCTGGTACACCTAATTTACTAGGTAATACCTAATTTTGTTTAAAAATGATAATAAAACAAAACTCATATTAAAGTTAAGTAAATCCAGCTATAAATAAATTCAATTGTCTGACAGACTGAATGCAAATTTATATTTGTAGTTTCTGACAAGATATTGAGATTTTATTATCTAAAAAGGGAGACACGGCGTATTTCGGCTTCTCGCCATCTTCACCACTGGGGGGTCTATCCATCTGCTGTGAAATATATTTTCGTACAATCTAATTGTATGCGAAAATAGCCAGGACTGCCACGTACAGACCAAAATAGCAAGGATAGAATGACCAAAACGATAGGGGAAATTGCAAATTTATCACCCCGCAATCTTCATTAACTTTTTTACACTGTTTTATTACAGGTGATATATGATATCAGTACAAATAGGCGAATTCTACGAGCCGACGCATTCATGAAACTGTACACAAGTAATTTTGAGTCACTGCTCTCCTACGGTTTGGTTTTTAATAATAAGACAACACTCTCTCTCTCTCTCTCTCTCCCTCCCTCTCTCTCTCTCTCTCTCGCTCTCTCTCTCTCTCTCGCTCTCTCTCTCTCTTTTTCCACCTCACGTTTATAAGCTTCTCCCATTTTTCTTTGTTTCATTTCAACTTTATCTTTATCTCATTCACTATGTATAGTCATAATCCTACCGACTTCCTTCCATTCGTGCCAATAAATACATTCATACAGTATGTACAGAATTTCATTCATCCATTAGACTAATTTCCTTTTGACGGGCTTGTGGAGTACTCGATATTCCTCGACATCCACGTCCATTTACACAAAACATTCACGCTAATAAATACATTCATATTGGAGAGGTGGCGGTGACCTGTCCCTCACATCACACAACAAATATATAATTACCTAAAGTAATTTGGCGGGCCTGTGAGCTACTCGATATTCAGTCACAGCCACACCCAGACATACCTCATCACCCACGCTAATAAATACATTCATATTGGAGAGGTGGCGGTGACCTGTCCCTCACATCACACAACAAATATATAATTACCTAAAGTAATTTGGCGGGCCTGTGAGCTACTCGATATTCAGTCACAGCCACACCCAGACATACCTCATCACCCACGCTAATAAATACATTCACACTGCAAAATGGAGATATACCATGTGTGGTTGGTTATAAGTATCCATACGCATTTATCAATTTTAAGTACTCATGGGAACTTATATTTTTAATGCTCACCCAGCTATAAAAACTATTAATGGACTGTCCACCTTCAAAAAAGTTTTGAAGATAAATTTACAGGGAAAATCGTATTATGATCTATTTTTTTCAGTTCTTCACCTTATTGTGATAATTTGGTAATTATTTTTTAAGTCTAATTGGATTAGTTTATTTGTAACTCGACGTGTCTACATCCAATGGAAAATACGACGATAAAAGATTCTATTCTATCGTCTGCCTGTCGTCGTTACAAGCCATAGCCAAAATTTAAGCAAATTTTAAGTTGGAACAGGAACTGTTTTACCTTGACTTGTTTGTGGTCTTTAGTTAAAAATTATTATTAATGTGTCTGCCTAATCGTTTTTTTATGGAATGTGCTTGTAATAAATGTATAAGAAAATACAAATTTTTTCAATATCGTGTTTGTGCCTATGATTTGAATGTACGATAAGCGATTTTGAGTTGAAAATTTAAAAATACCTGCGGCAGGGGTTTAGGGGGTTTGACGGTTATCCCTCCGATCTGCACCGAGTTGGGCATAGTCGGTTTAAGCCCGTGGATGGAGAAATGCGAGTGGATCATGTAGACGGAAGCGTTGTTGGCGATGTCCCTCAACTTCGGCAAAGGACCCAGGTACTTTTCGGCCAGTATCTGCTCATTTCTGCGAAACAGCTGGTCGTAGACGGCCACGGTCCCAAACACTTCCACCGTATTCTGCAGCCTTTCCAGGAAGTTCTTTTTAACCGGATGGGCCGAGAATGGGTGGCTGATGTACGACGGGTCGATCGAGTCGCCGGCTGCGTACGACTGCCACGGAAAATGCTGGCACGTGCTCAAAAGAATGTAAGGGGCGCCGATTTTATATACGAGGCCGAAATGCACATCCGAATTGAAGTATTCTGTGATCACCAAGTCGAATTTTCTATGTTGAAGATCCATGAACTCCGGAAGGGTGAAAAGCCGGTCGTACTCGGCTTCCAAATCATATATAAGTCGCATGTTGGTCAGGACCGACGGCCTTACTGACTTAAATTGCTTGAAATCGAAAAAACCCTTTAATGGCCGGTGATTTTTCTCGTCTACAAAAGACACAGCTGTGTAGTTGGGAAAAGGCTCTGTCTTTGGAAAGTAACTGGCGACTGTCACATGATGACCTCTTCTCGACAGTTCATCCAGCAACGGCTCAAAAACCAAAAAATGGCTCGTTCCACGGAACGGGAGAAGTGCGAGTATCTCTGCTCCTGTCGACCAACCGAAAACAAAAATAAGCACGAATCCCAATCGCATGCACGTGCTCATGGTGCGTTTGCTCCGTCCAAACTGAAGTCTTAGGTACCAAAAGCAACTCCCACTCTCCAGTTTAATGAGAAAATTGTATAATCTCATTGGCGGTTCTAAACTCTGACATATTTTGTTAGTAAGCAAGTTTTTAATATCTTGTTAATTACAGAATTTCTTTTCTTTTTTTGACCTACTTTCTTTTTCATAGATATCCTCAAGACCTTGCATGTTGCCCACTGTACGATTTAAGCAAAGGTCATAGTAAAGAAAACAACAGATTTCAGACATTTAATAAAATGAAGATCGTGTGTCAGAACAAAAAGTTAGTAAAAAATGGTAGCATCAGTTCTTACAATAAGAATAAAAAATAATAAAAATAAATATAAAAAGATAACTAAATAAAACGACACAAAAAATGTTAGTAAAAAATGATAGTTTCAGACCACAGAATCTAAACATAAATTTAAAAAATTGTGGGGTGAGAACAAAAAGTTTGTAAAAAATGGTAGCATCAGATCTTAAAATCTAAACACAAATTTAAAAAATCGTGGGATGTGAACAAAGAGGTATTAAAAAAAGGCATCACAAACATAAAAAAGTATTTAAAATAAAATGTATACGTACAAAAAGGTAGCATCATAATCAGGAAAATAAAAAAGTGATGGTAGGAAACTAAGTGTTAGAATAGACAGAATAAATCAAAAATAATGTAATAATTATTGGGGTAAAAAATGTGTAATAAAAAGTCATAGTAAAGAAAATATCAAATTTCAAGAACATTAAATAAAATGAAAATTGTGGGTGAAGACAAAAAGGTAGTAAAAATGGTACCATCAGACCTTAAAATAAGAAAAAAGTAATGAAAATAAATATAAAAAATAACTAAATAAAATGAAACAAAAAATTGTAGCATCAGACCTTCGAATCTAAACATAAACTTAAAAAATCATGGGATGTGAACAAAAAGGTATTAAAAAAAGAATTCACAAATTTAAAAAAGTATTTAAAATAAAATGTACATGAACAAAAGGTAGCATCACTATCAAGAAAATAATAAGTGATGGGAGGAAACGAAGAGTTAGAATAGATAGAAAAAATAGAAAATAATGTAAAAATTATTGATGTAAAAAGGTGTTATAAAAAACCAGATCGCTTAAAACATCAAAAACAGAACAAATAAAAATCATAAGCTTATAGAATAGGTCATAGTGAAGAACACCTTATTAAATAGAATTAAAATAAAAAATGAGAACGAACATTTATTATAAAAACCGTAGTATCATACCGTAGAAATTGTGAAAGTAAACAAATAAAAAACAGAGCATGAAGTAAAAACTGCAAAGTTTATGTATATCAAAATTAGTTATAAAAAAAAAAAAAAAAAACACCAGACCACAAAAACATTAAGTAAGGTAAAAATAATGTGTGAAAAAATTGTGGTTGAAAAAAGGAACAGTAGAGCTTTTAAACAGATAATAGAGTAAAAATCATGGGTGTGGAAAAAAGTTGTCATGTTGTCTGTAGAAAAACCAAATTTTGATCAATTATTCATTATAATGCATATTTTTACTTGTCGTTTCTATGGTGATGATTTTCGGTGTTATTTGAAATATTTTTGATATTGTCAAATAATGTTTTCATTAAGTGGTAAAACTGGTATAATCGTCGCTGCAGCTGCAGCATTAGTTGGTGCGGCGAGTTGGTTTATCAGCAGGAAATACTGGAGAGATGATGAAGAGGAGATAGAAGAAGTTGTGGTTTATGATAAGCAAGGTAATACATTTTCATTGGAAGAACTGAAAAAGATCAAGTTGGACAAAATCAAAAGTAACTGCAGAGGAGTTAAATGCCAACTTATAGGAGACTTCATGGAAGTGCCGAACAGGGAAATACAGGCGATTCTTGGCAATAAACAATTAGAAAATGTTTTTTATGCTGCTGGCCCTTTTATATACAAGAATGGTGGTTTGCCTGCAGTGCATAAAGCACTGGAAGACTATGGAGATGTCGTGGAGCGGACCAAATGGTATGCATCTGCAGTCAAGGCAGGAATAAACCCGTAAGCACTTTTTACACTGTTTCTTATTTATATTCTTTTATTTATTTATTTTTTATAATATTTTTTGTTTGTTTCAGCTATTCGTGAGCAAACAGTGCCTGCAGTATCTTTTGGCTTAAATCAAATTTTTGTTTTATATTTTTGAATAAATTATAGAAATTAAAACCATTTTTTGCGTCCATTGGTTATCTTATTGTTTGTTTATTGAATATTCGAACTACCCACAATTTTGGTAACAAGTAACAGTGTCGCTTGGAAACATTCTCTCAGAACCTAAAGACAAAGTTGACAAAAAATAAGCAGGGTTTACGAAATGAACTGTAATGATTGTGATATTTAAAAATAAAGGACAAAACGGCAGAGAAATTAAAACGTGTTAAAGAACACTTGCCTAAATCGAACCAATTTTCTGAATTTAAGGACCATCTAATTAGAACAACACAATTTAAATTTAAATACGACAGTGTTACACGGTTTCAACAAAGGGAAGGAATTAGATTGGTTTGAAAAATTTAAAATTAAAAAATATAAAACTGAACATAGAGATAGATGCATTTATAATATATTCGATTTTGATTTATCCCATGATTATATTTTAAACATCTATCTAAATAATATTTGGCATACAAATTAATCTAATTTAAAATTATTTTCTTACAGTATTTAATAGTATAATATTCAGTTGTTGTTTTTCTTTTAATAAATTAGTCTGTTTTGTGTTCGACCAAAGTGTGTTGAAAAGATCCGCCTTAATTAGTTTCTGCTTTCCTTTTTTCTGTTTCCATTTTGGCTTTGGTTGATTTTGAAGATTTTGCCTTTTCGATGAAGCTTTCTGGTGGGCCCACACCTCCCATTTTAATTGAGGGCATTTTGAGGAATCCCTGTTACAACTATGAAGATCAAAAAAGTTCAAACTGTACAACAGGTTTACCCCACAGACATCCCCGTTTCCTATTGGCTTTACTTATTACAAAAAATTGTACATTTGTTGTTTTAAATATGTAGTTGAGTCTTTTCAAATTATTTTAGTCTCCCTATCCTTGGTCGTTTGGATTTTTGTAAATGAGGATTTGCAACAGCAGAGGTCATATAATCAAAACACCTCATTGTGTTGGTGTTTTTGAAAAAAAAGAAAAAAAAGCCTATTTGTAAGTAAGTATATTGAGTTGAATGCAGGGCCACTGGATTCGAACTAGAACTTTTACCTTATGCTGGGTGGTTTCCACTGCGAAAAAATTACTTGCACAACTGTTTCACAAATCTTGTCCCGTATTGTAGAAATCTTGATGGGACTGCGAAACTTTTGGTGCGAGGATATTTCACGAGCTGACCGGTTGTCGGTTTTGTTTTGCTCTTTGTAAACACACTTGTTTCGAGTATGAGAATGAACTGGGAGGCATACATTCAACTTATCCGAATGTATCACAGCTACTTATTTTTATGGGATGCTAAAGATAAAACTCACCATAAGAAGAACGATAGAAAGGATTACAATTAATTAAGGTTTTTAGTTGAGATGAAAAAAAGTTAATGGCAGGAGAGGGGTTCGAACCCATGATCTTCGGGTGGATACGCCACTGCTCTACCACTTGAGCTATCGTGACCTTGATCCACTCAGACATCAACTTCCTATCTCAACCCCACCTTATGAGTTTTCCCTCCTTTTTGCCATTTTTCATCTCAACTAAAAACCTTAATTAATTGTAATGTATTAATTGGTCAAGCGGACCACGAAATTAGTGAATTTAATGAATTAAAATGAAGTACACTTCACTAAAGCTCTCCGTGGCCATTTCATTTGTCATCAAGAATCCAATCCAATTACACGCCATTTGAAAAATGGCAAAAAGGAGGGAAAACTCCAAAGGTGGGGTTGAGATAGGAAGTTGGTGTCTGAGTGGATCGAGGTCATGATAGCTCAAGTGGTAGAGCAGCGGCGTATCTAGCCCAAGATCATGGGTTTGAATCCCACTCATGCAATTGACTTTTTTATCTCAACTAAAAACCTTAATTAATTATAATATATTAATTGGTCAAGCAGACCACGAAATTAGTGAATTTGATAGAAAGGATGTGTGGAAGGAAATGAGCATCAAAATGGGACAAAGACAAAAAGTATTTCCATGAAAGCACACTCTGATACAACAGTCGATACAGTTATGAACGGCAGTTTGGCTCGCAAGTGATTTTTTCGTGCAATGGCTTTACAGTGATGAGTGCTGTGTCAACGCCTATACCATTGCAGCAACGCCCTCTTTCTTGTTACAGTCTATCTTTTGTATGGTCATGAATATTTAAATCAAATCACACACTGTTTTGCCTACACAAAAACTCAAGATAATTAAAAGGTTCAGAAAAAATTGAAAGATTACAATATAAAAACATAATTGATTTATTTAGACAATGTAGTTTTACAAGTTTGTTTCACAATAATGAAAATTACAATTTATAAACCGCCGGTTGAACAAAATAACACGAATGAAACTTCAAAACTTTGGCTCAAATATTTTTTTTTAAATCTGGAATTTGAAACAGTAGTAGCCTCAAATTTCTTTCAGTCAAAATGCAATTGGTAAAAGAAGTAAACAACAAAAGAACATTCAGTCACGGTTATTCTTAAACATGCAATGTATGAGAAAGACAAGGACGAATGCCATGCAGCTTCCTTGAAACGCTGTTTGATTAAAAAAAAAGTTTACTTTTAAATCGAATCTCATTGCACTGCAAGATAACGGCATTGGCAGTTTTAAAAATTATTATGTGTAAACAAGGACACAATGACATCTTAGAAAAATTAACTAAAGGTAATTGGGCTTTATGAAACTTGATCATTGTTTAAACTTAAATGTAGAAAAAACAAAAACCAATTGAAATCTTTCTGTCGAGTTAATCAAAGTTAAAACTGGATTAAATTAACATCTAATTTATCACTACAATTAAAATATTTATTAAAGAAAAAAATTAAATCTCTCAATTCCATATTAAATAGTGGTCTTTCTTTCGATATTTGGCACATTCATTATTGCATAAATTCAAAGGTAAATTAATTTTATGTCAATAACGTTTTCAAGAAATGCTTTCAACTGTATCCACACTCGTCAAAGCTGAAAGTTTAAATTATCAGATAAATGCAATGAAGTCCAGACCGTTTAAGGTTCAAAGTTACATAAAAAGTTATAAATATAAAAGAAAATAATACCGACAAGTATCACAAAAGATGCGTTCAATAAAATTTCTCTAACACTTTGGCCACTGGAAGGACTGAGAAAAAAAAATCTTCCGCAATCGTCCAAACTCAAATAAAACATTTTCATGAAACAAAAGTAATTTTAAGTACATTTTGTCTATTACTAGGAATGTATTTAATATCACATGGCATAACTTATCAATATTAATTTACACATTCATAACACACATTAAAAGCTGGTTAAACATTGGCGCTTTTTATTAGTCCGTTTAGCTATGTACACATAACATTATGTAAAATATATTCTAATACAAATACTTTACAAGAATAAATAACTTCATTAGGAAGCTTCCCTGTCTCTTGTGGTAAGTAGTGAAATAAGATTCTGCAGTTGTCGAAATACGATCCACTTGTCGCTCTCAAATATAGTTTTGGAAATTTTAACGTTGAGCATTTAGTGGCACCATATTTCTCAAAAAAGATTATGACACTGATTTAAATAATATAAGTTGTTAAGATTTATACATTTCAAAAGAAAGACCTAAGACGAATAATAAAAATTTATTAGTTTCCCGTTAGTAATTAATTTTTAATTAAAACCTATTAAAAAGTTTATAAATTATATTTAAATTAGATATGTTTAACAGTAATAATATACAATATAACAGAATCAAATATGTATTCACGTGTCAGAAAATAAATATTCACTTTCTGATAATAAAACTTCCAAGTCGGACGGCACGGTATGCATGTTAGAATTGGGATCATTGACCACCGGCTTTTCACATGCTGGGTTAGGATTGGTTTTGGCGACACCTGTAGAATTGCCTCCTGGAACAGGAGTTGTCTGTACTTCTTGAGACGGGAACCTCATTAAATCTTGGTTCGGGCTTTTTTGAACCTTGAGTTTGTTTTTCCCTTCTCGAGACGCTTCTTTCGCCTTCTTGCTCTCGTTCTGCTTTTTCTCGATTTTCTTCTGGAGCGACTGCGACCGGCTGAGCTTCCTGTCCGCTTTGCACTTCTGTGGAGAAAGTGGTAACTGTGTTGTGGCTTTGCATTCCACAGAGGTCATCCGGAGAAGATCGACGTTAGAAGGTTTATCAGGAGAGGCTGCTGAAAGGCGTGCTACTACAGCGTTCTCATAGACGGGTTCCGTTTGATCGATAGCAACTAGTTTTTCTAAATCACACTGAAGACTAGAAGGTGTCTTAACTTCTGTGCTATTCTGTTTTGAGCATTCCCCTACTTCTGGTTTCTTTTCTGCGTCTTTCTTTATTTCCCGGTTTTTACGCTGGTTTCTTCTCCTTTCCTGAACCAGCACAGCTGTTCTAGGCTTCATACGGACTTTGGAGTTTATCTCCTTAACGACGCTGGTCGCCACTTGGGTCGGCTTCTTCAGTTTGACACTGAACTTGAACGGTGGTTTGTACATAACTTGCAGTTTGACTTGCTCTTTGACTTCAGGCACCCTTCTTGGCTTAGCAACCTTGACGGGGCTTCTTTGACTTTCTGTCGGGAGGAACCCGGCAGGTGAGGATTTCGATTTCCTCACCATCGTCCTGTCTATGTGAGAGTTGAGCAACCAGTTTCTGACTTTACCCAAAGGATCGTCTTCGGGTGTCTGAGGAGTTTTCGGTTCTTGGGCCGCACTGTAATCTATCACCTCTTTTTTGGTCGCTTTCTTTTTCTGAGGAGTCTTCTTTTGTGATTTTCTGGGCGATACCTCCTCAGGCATTCTCCTAGGCTTTTTCGCATCTTTTCCTCTCTTGTTCCTCCTCGGTTCCCTGACTCTCCTCTTCAGAGGCACTTTGCTCCTAACGGCGGGATGAACAACAACATTTCCCTCGTCACCATCCGGTGGAAGTCTGACAGTTTCAGTCGTAGAGCTGTGAATTATGGTGATGCCTTTGAGCTTCAGATCTGTCGTCTTTCCGAGTAGCCTTGTGCTCAATACCTAGAAAAGAATCACAATGAAATTTTATTATTTCAAAACTGTTATTTCAACAATGTGATTTACCAAGATTAAGATGACACTAGCGACGATTAACAGGGCATAGTACCACCTGTCCAAAACCCATCTTTTAAAAGAGGCTATGCTTTGCTCCGACAAAAGTAGTTTTCTTAACGTGGCCAATGGGCCTGACGGGTCAACCTGAAAAACATCAATGTTGAATAAAACAATAAATTCAATAATAAAAATGTTAGTATATTTTTACCTCTCGACATTTCTGGAAGACGTCACAATATCCATTGTAGTCATTGCATGGAGTTCCAGGCTTTGAAAACATATCTGGGATATCGTATGGAATGCTGTTCCAAGTGAAAGATGAACTGAAAATAAATATTATTTAATTAACAATTTATTAATTTTTTGTAGTTATAAAAGCGCTTACATGCACGGCGAGTTTTCCCCGGGTTCTTTGCAACACAATTCACACGCTTTGGTGATAGGATCATCAGGTCCAGGTATGCACTGACATGACTCCAATCCATACGCCAAGCATATTGAGCCCGTGCATTCCTTAAATAAAAGTTATTTTCATTAATCGAAAGTTATTTGATTAAAAACTCATAAATCAGTTATGTGAATGCTGACCCCCATGAAACAGACGAACTCATCGTTACAAACTGTCTTGTTAGGCTTGTTAATTGAAGGTGGACAGTGAGGGCCACGGCCATCGCAATAGCTCGAGTCCCTGCATCCGTTGTCGTCCCTACATTTGTCGCCAAACTTAAGATCACATTCAGCAGTGCAGCAAGGGCCCTGGGAGGGGCTGCACATGCTGTGTGGCGTGAGGTGGCACGGAGGCTGGTCAGGAGGTGGATGCCTCCTTTGTGGGTAGCAGCAGTCTTCCTTGCAATCTTCTTCCCATCCACAGTCGCACTGCTCTCCCACTTCGACTACACCATTGCCACAGATGGCCGCTTGGGGTTCTAAAATCAAACGGTTTTACATATTGCACCAAACATTTTTAAAATGAATCTTACCTGTAAAACAACCCTTCGAACTCCTGGCTTTTGAATTTAACACAGGATTTATACTATTGAGACTACACGGTGAGAACCTATTGTTGTTTTTCTTGTCTCCTGATGTGGCACGGGCGAACATGATAAAATTGCCATCCTCTCCACCTGGTGTACACAGCTCTGGATCGTGCTGAAACAAACAAATCAAATTTTTATTTTAAGTAAAAAAAAATGACTGGTTTTGACTTACAGGTGAGCCAAAGTTATGGCCTATTTCATGAGCCAGGGTGACGTGGGAGACAGCCGGAGGCACATGTTTCCCGTAATTTAGCAGCGTTACTATTCCTGTATTGAGGCTCTTCATACTCCCTCTATAATGCTGAATAAACAAAAAATTATTATTAATAAATTAGTAAAAATAAAAGTGGTGGTAAATTGATTTTTTGAAGACATACTCCATTTTTTTCGCAGACTCCGCCTGCATTTTTCAAATCTCCGGTCCAGGCTAGACCGAGTGTACCCATTTCAAAGTCTCTGTATGTAAACATGTACGCTAAACAAAATGCATCGTAGTCCTCCTCTGAAACCGACATAAAAATAAACAATTAATAAAAAAAAAGAATAAAAGATAATTTTATGATAAAAAAATACAAGAAACAATTTCTTGCTTCTCTTTTTGATGTATATTTCTCATCTGGAGCTTTTCCAGAGTTTTTATTTTTTAAGGAGGTACATTTCCAGGCTCTTTTTGTTGAGTCATTTGTTAACTCAAATAAAAATGTACTGAAGAGGAGGCGGAAAGAGCTTGGAAAAGCATCTACCTAAAAAATAAAACATAAAAATAAAACGATGGAAAACATACTAAGTTTTCATAATTCATACAAGAATTCCTTGTCATTCAAAAATTTCCAGTGTTGGCATAAAAAAAATATGTTTAAATTGATGATATGTTGGATTATTAGGAAAATCACTGCTGACAAATATTTTCCAGGCTCAGCTGAACTGACACAAACTATTCAATCATAACTGATAAATGATCGGATTGATCGAACCTGTCATCATCAGAACGTATTGAATTTTATAAACAACCAATGGCTTTGTCTCAAGCAAAGTAACCCATTTGTAGCAACAGTTCCTATTTAAATTGTGTTAGTATGACAGAAGTTTAAAAAAAAAAAAAAAAAAAAATTGGTTTTGGTAATCAGTGTAAAGAAATATTCCAATTGTAAATGTGTCTAGAGGTCTTCCATTTTTTAACGTTTTACCAAAAAAATATTACAAAGAATATAGTCCATTTTGTAAAGACTGCAGGTAGAGCAAGATGCATCAATCAGAGTCGATTATGGAAGCCTGGCCAATGGCTGAAAACCATTGACCTGATGAACTTACAGGGAAGACACATCGATCAGGAAGGCTGTCCTCCCCTCGGCCGATTTCAAATTAACAGAGATTTAACCGGGCCGTTTAATTAAACCGGGCCCTTTCGTTATAAACGTTAAACTGAGACTTGAGGGTTAATTACAGATATTCATCTGGCGATAAACAACCCGTTAACGCCGGACTTGGTGATGGAATTGTTTGTAACGACGGAAAATCCCGCGACAGCAAAAACCGGCGGACCCAGGACAAGGAATGATCGGACAAACGTCGAACAACCCACAAACGAATAAATACATAAAAAATCATGTAAGAATAAGTAGAAAAAGAACAAAGCACAACCACTGAAGAAGGTAGAAAACGGCAAAATGGCCAAAATGAACAGCGAAAATCGGCGGACCACCGCATGCAATGATCCAACAATCATCAAACCACCCATAGATATTATTAATAAGTTATAGCATTCTTGTAGTAGTTCGTTTGGACTATGACTTATGATATTTTTAGTGACTGGGAATTTTGTGGCCATTATAAGGGCCGGTGTTGTGTAGAGAAAGCGTGACGATGAATCAAAGCGAGACCGTGTGCGTGGCGCCGTTGGTGGTGGTCTGTGACCATGAGTAAACCGTTGGCTGAGGTCCGGGGGTCGTGAGTCAGTTGACTCCACAGTGGCCGAAGGTATTGCCGATGTCGGTTACATTAGTGATGGGTGAGATCTCGTCGGGTTGACGAGTCTCTCTCAGAGAGGCAGTGCCCCTGCTTATATAGGGAAGAGCTCTACTCTGATTGGCTGCAGAGAGGAAGCCGAGAACATTCCATAAGTCGTAGTGGCATCTAGCGGTAACGTGTGGCAGCTACAAGTGGCCACTAAAATATTTATCTGGTTATAGAATATAGTAAAATAAATATTTTTAAACTATGCTGTGACATCCTTTTTTAAGGCATTGTGATCGCTTATCACCTGTCCTCTCCGATTTCCTTAATCGTCTTCGTCCTAAGTCGTGTTCAGTTCATCTTTTTAGGCCTGCTGTGGGATAGGGATAAAAGAAGCGGCCACAAGACCTTTTGCACTACGACATGAGTAGATCTTCTGTGCTCCCCTGTTTTTTTGTAACTCACTGGCCGGCTTCAGGTTGTTAATCAACCTCCATAGCCTTGCCAGCGTCTCCTTAGTGTAGGATCTTGCTTGTGATTTTGTTGCAAGAGCACTTGTATAGATAGACCTTCATAGAAACATAAAATGTGTTCTGCCGTCTCCTCCTACTCGTGGCAGTATTTGTGTGTGTATTGGTGTTTTTTTTTGTCTGTACTCCTATTCAGTGCATGTACTTTCTTAAGTGGCAGAGCCTGGTCACGAGTTCAACTGGAATCCTGGTTCGGTTGTGGTTGCCTTCCAGTAATTCCTTAGTAAGTTGTACGGATGGTCCTTCTATGAATCTCTTCGCGTGCCTCATTCTTGTGGTATTGTTCCACGAGGTTTTGGACTCATTAACGATCCATTTTAAGATGTATCCTCTTTTGTGGCAGTGTGCTAAGCCTCAGTAGGATTCAGGACTGAAGAGTGTCCATGTTGGCTTTCGGCCAAACGTCAACCTTTTCGTTGCCTATATGCCCCCAGTGCCGAGGGATCCGTTCCAGGGACAGGTCATAAGTGGATTCATCCTGTGTCCTTGCGGTTTTAGTATATGTACCGCCGAAGCGAGTACAGTCCTTGCGGTTTTTGAGCCATCAGTGTACCAGTAGGTGTTTGCCTTTAGCGGTAATCTTTCGGCCCATTCTTCCCGTTCTGGTATCAGTACCTTGTACTTTTAGTAAAATTGTATTTTGGAGTAGTGGCATCGATTAGCAGCCTAATATGGCATCTGCCCTCAGTTTACATTGATTATTTACATCCATTTTTGGCCAACTTGTCAACCTTTTCGTTGACCCTATGCCCCGAATGTCCAGGGACCCAGTACAGGTCATTAGTATCGTTGACCCCTGTCAGGGCCTCCATGCAGTTCCAAATACTCTCAGCCTTCACCTCGCACGAGCCTAGGGCTCTTAGTGCTGCCTGACTGTCAGAGCAGATGGCCATCTTACGCGAATGTATTGCTAGAATTCTTATTTCCCTGGCGCAGTGTTCAATCGCTAAGATCAGACAGGAAAACTGTCAGTTCGGTCTTTGGATTCATCCCGAAGACTCCATCTCCTTTCTGGTGTTCCTTTGGCCCATTCTTCCCGTTCTCGTATCAGTACCTTGTATAGGCCGGCTAAGATTCAAACTTTACTCTTTCTTTAATTTTCCCCTCTGAGGATCTCTTTCTTAGTGTGTTAATTTAATACAAGCCCCCTTAAAGAAAATGTTTATTTTTTCACAGGGCAATCCGAACATTCAGAAAAGACAGTTGAACAGAATGAAAGTCCTGGAAGTTATTTAATATTTGAACCAACTCCCCCTAGTGTTTCCCCCCTTATCCACACTAAATTGAGAAACTTTTAATCGAAAACACGTCAAGGGTGAGAGGAATTCCAGAAGGAAGGGATTTTTAAGACGGCCCCGGTGTCGGCGGTTTCGGGAATCTTGGAGTTTCAATTACCCTCCTCCTTCAGGACCTATGAATATGCATACGAGCCGAACCTTTGTCCCGAAACGTATTAATAACAAATCTTGACGGATTAAAAAAATCTCAACATTGCAGCATTAGAACTCCTGGAAATAAGGGACAAAGGTGTCTATTTATTTACAAAAATTTTTTGGTAAATAAAGAGAGGCTTTGTGGCTTATAGAATATTTATGCTTATATGCTCCAGTAAAATACTACTTTAAAAAAATGGGAGAATTAACATCAATTATGTCCAGAAGAGATAGAGACAACAGAACATATCCTGTGCAATTGCCCTGCTTGGAAAAAGCTATGGTGAGCCCTGAGAACAATTCTTTACTTTATCAAAAAATCGAAAATCTCCTAGGAAAACCATTACAAGAGATAATAGTGCGCAGTTGGAAAAAAATATTAAATTCACTAATTTCGTGGTCCGCTTGACCAATTAATATATTACAATTAATGAAGGTTTTTAGTTGAGATAAAAAAGTCAATGGCACGAGCGGGATTCGAACCCACGATCTTCGGCTAGATACGCCGTTACTCTACCACTTGAGCTATCGTGACCTCGATCCACTCGGACACTAACTTCCAATCTCAACCCCACCTTTTGAATTTTCCCTCCTTTTTGCAATTTTTCAAGCGGACCACGAACTTAGTGAATTTAATGATTTAAAATGAAGTATACTTCACTAAAGCTCTCCGTGGCCATTTCATTTGTCGTCGAGAATCCAAACCGATTACACTTTTTTGACTTTTTTATCTCAACTAAAAACCTTAATTAATTGTAGTATGAAAAACGTTCTAAAGGGGAAAATCTCTAAAACCCTAAATGAGGGATAGTAATAGTTTTATGTCGTACTGTAAAAGTTGTAAAATAAAACTTGCTAAATTAAATTTTTTTTGAAAAGCTTTTCGTTTTTAAGGATAGTTTTACATGTCCAGGGCCAAAATTAAACTCATTTTTCGTTTAATATAATTCACTTTCTTTAAGACTCGATGAATTTCAATGACTTTTTGGAATCAATTCTGGCTGAAAGGGGTTGAAGTCCGTTTTCGCGATTTAAGTCACGCTTAAGGCATTAGGCAAACTTGCGCCCGATAAAGTCGCCGATTCAAAGAAACCGATTAAAAGAGGTTTAAACTATCCAGGGGAAAAGCGATCCCAAAATCAATTAGAGAAAAATTAATTCATTCCTATTCAAATAAGTCTCCAAGTTCAAGCGGTCTCGTTGGCACTTTCTCAAATTAAATTAGAAAATGAAGTTTGCATTATCACTTTATACGATGAAAAGGTCCAATGACATCTAAATCCGGCCGTAACGATTAGCAAAAAAAAATTAATTAATTAATTAAAAAACAATTCTTTCGAAAGAATCGAAAATAATTTCTTTGCGCAGTTGTTAAAAGAAAGAACCATTTTGTTCAATTTGAAAAAATAAAAGACGGAAAATTTTATCCTGTGATAAAAGTGAACTTATATAGCTTAGAATATAATCAAATATTCTGAATTCGAAAAAATGTGGGGAAAAAATCAAATTATCTACGTGATGAACTTTGTCGTCTAGTTCAAGCCAACTATAAAACTTCAGATTTTCGTAACTTTTCAAATATTTAT